CACCAGCACGTCTTCGTGCGATGGCGTGGCCGATCTACGTGGCCGGCTGCCTCGCAAGACCAGAGGAAGAGAACTCCCTGTATGGTATTATCGAGAGCCTACAACCACCCAGTCTATTCAGTACGGTATACAAGGCGCTTGACATCATGGAGAACGTATGGGGAACTAGGGGAGAAAGGGATGCATCATCCCGCGATCTCGCGGCCTGCTTCAAGAGTCTGAGTGATGAGCTATTATTACTTGTTTAACGGGTTCACTACATAAGTTCACTATCGTTAGACTTAGAGACATGGGTATTCAACACGAGTTTTAATACCGTTCAATTGCGCCTATAAAATCCCGCTCCCTCTCTAAACACTCATGATTAGTAGAAAAGGGCTTGTCATACCTTGGGGTTAGGGTTAGGGTATGAGACAGCTGCTTGGGTAACAGAAATTTTGAGAGGTTCAGGATTTTCAGACTCCAACTGGCAACAGACAACAGAGGTCATAATCTCGAATATCCCGATAAAGCACATTGGACCGAATGACTTATGGAGTATTCCAGCAAAAACCCTACTCCTTCCATGGCTGACCGATGACTATCATGACTAATCTCTGACTAAGTTCTGACTAATCTGTCTCGATTGCCTCCCCTATTGTTGCAAGCGACAGGTAAAATCGATAAATGCTCGTGTAGGCTTACATGCATCACCCAGGAAAATCTTCAATGAGTGATTCGTAAAGAGTGAATGGTGTTGGTGACAAAATCCTCCTCTTCTGCCTACGCCCTAGTCGCTTCGAGCCATGAGATAACTTGTTGGAGCTGTATCCTTGGGGTTGGTTATTGAGGCTGGAAAAAAAATACGATGCTGCTATGGATTGGCATTGGTTTGTTCAGGGTGGGTTTCTTCTAAACTCAATCTGCCTGCCTCTTCATCTTCACATCTGATGTCCTTGTATTCGGCAGTATCCGGTTTCTGGACGTTCCCGACCAGGGTAACGAGAGTCAGACTGGCAATGACAATCACGGCACCTAAGATTTCCCAAAGATTGATTGTGGATTGGAATAAGACGCGATCCAGTATGAGAGCCCAGACTATCTGCGAGTATATCATGACCGTAGCAGCTGAAGAAGTGTCGCTCGAGATTCCAACTGTGAGGGTGAATTCCTGATTCAAAGTTAGAAATGCTTCGCCGATTATAGAAAATGAAGACATAAAATGAGCTCACCATCGATAAACCACAGATGCCGATATACGCAAGACAGAGCCACGTGAGCGGATTCCTTGGCCATGTGAGTCCTGGAACTAGCATGAGGCCAATCCAGCTCACAGTTGCTAAGCTCCACGCGAATACGTTAACACTGGTCAGCGGATGAGCTCTCTTTCCAATGCAGCGGATTGAGGTGATGGTAATCTAGGATAATCTTAGTATAGATAAACTTGGAGGTGCTACATGCTTGTCACTTACTACACCACCACAAAGGCCCAGCACAGCAAAAGCTAAGCCTTTCATGTTGGCTGCTGGATCACTAGAGACATCACGTTGGGTGGCCTGTACCGAGCCAAATATCTCTTCAGGTTGGGATATGAGCACAACTCCTCCGAGCGCTCCAATGGCGCCGAGGCAATCAGTCCATTGGACAGTAGCGAATGACAGATATCGTGTTAGGATCAACGACCCAAGAGGACCAAGAAAGTTCAAAGCAGTCGCTTCACTAAGGTTTAAATATTTCATAGAAACTATCACATATCGACAGTCAGCACAACAAGTCACATCGCCTAACACCCGAAGCCAGCAAGGCAAAAATTACGACATGACGATATGATATCGAGAAGTGACTTACAGAAGAATCCCGAAGCACCACAGGTACCACCGAGAGCTCGCAGCAGAATTAAACCCCGAACATCAGGAGATCCGAACAAGATGTCGGACTTCTTATCGCCGCCGCCGATGTGCCAAAGATACCAGGTACATCCGAGGGCGGTGATCAACATCCGGACATGGAGGACCTGGAAGGGGTGAACTTCCTCGAGCCTAGTCTCGGCGTACTTCGCGGCGGCGTTCAGGGTGGCGGCGGCCACTTGGGAAGCTAAGACGAATAACGAGGGACGATAGCGCTCGACCAAGGACAACATGGCCCCCGAATCTTTCGCCATTATGGGCAACAGGCCCGATCAATGGTGGTTTAAACGAGTGACGATGCCAAAATGGCTTGAGGATGGAATGATGATGATTCACATCGCCCTTCTTCAGATAAAACGCGACTTTGTCGTCGTTTGTTTGAGAAAGGCCAAGTCCGAGCCAAATATGGTGCTCCACAATGGATGGGTATTGTAATTTCGATCGTCGAACGGATGCGGCGGTCGTCCCCAGCTCCTGTCAGTCCAAATTGGGCATAATGTGATGCAACCCTGAATACCAATTCTCTGGTTGATTTTCAGCAGGGATTGCGATAATGAATACGGGACAACGTGCTTTCCTGCCTGTGACAGATGTCTTATGTGCAAATGCCTAAGTTGCCCAAAGAAAGCACTGCAACATACCGCTTTTTTGTAGGCAAGAATCGTCGGTAGCATTAACAATATACATGATACGAAGTACAATGAATGGCATCCACTGCACTTGGTATGAACCAAACCTTATTCTCATACCTGCGCTATTGTCCGCTCAGGGGAAACACGGAACGAAGCCGGTAAGCCGCAAATATGAAATCGGGAACCCCGCAAGATTTAACTTGACAGCCCTGAATGCCGAAAATCCGAAAGGGTTTACATGAATATTTAGGTAATTTCAGAATATCGAATACACTTCGACGAGTTCACAAAAGTTGTAACATGGGTTGTCCCTATTCCCGTCTTCAAAGGCGGTAAAATCCACATAATTTTAATAAATTGCTACGCGTTTTTTCCCGTCCTATTGTAAGTTTCAAAAATCTGTAAGTACGAATAGGCCAATACAAAGTAAACATGAAGGGCTTCCGTTTTCCAAATCATAGATAGATCAATGGACATCCATACGCCAAGTCGAGGGTTATTAAGTCATTCTAGGTTTCTTCAGGGCGCTCCCCTGCAAAGCGAAACAACTAAGAGAAATCTAACCAATCAAATGCCGAATTTGGCCCAATACTTACCCTTTATGGAAAATAATAGGCTATCACAACCAATCAGATTAAAGGGGCTTGAGAAGTTCACCGATCTTGCTTGCTGTTTATTACCCCTAACCCTAACCCTCGCAATCGAATACATCTCCAGCAACTTCTTCATCATCCGGGCTGCCGGGTCAAAAATAAGTCTGAATGATGTCACATTACGATACTTTGCACGCGGCTCCGCGATTTCATTGATGTCAAGTCCTCCAATCAGATTACGATTCTTAGAAAATAACGAGCAACCAAACTCTCGTGTTTACTAGATCATCAGAAGAGACGACCGATTTACTAATGAACGAAGAGAAATGCTTACGCAGTACAGCTGACTTAAGCAATACAGCTAAGTTGTCTGACTCAGCTATGTTAATAATCAACGTACGCCACCTTAAGTGATGTCGCACAAGCTGATTGAATGAACGCTGATCTAATCATAGATTACCTAATTACTCTGTAAAACGAGCTGTTGATGAAGATATTATATATATTAAACTGGTCTATGAAAGCACTTTTAGTGAATCCACTTTTCGGAGTCATGTGCTAGGGGACTTCTCGATCTCCCTTTTCAAATCCGCATTGAACGAATCCCAATTGCGGATAGTTCTCGCCGACGAGCTGGACCCCTGCTTGAAAAAAAAGGTCAAAATGCCTTCGAAGTCTTCCACCTGGACTAGGGTGGTGCCGCCTGGATTCTTCTTGCTAGGCTCGAAGTTGAACTTGTGCGTCCCGGCTATGATTCCTGTCAAGGCCCCTATCCATTGGAAGGAGTCTGCAGAATTTACCTGTATTACGTAAGCATAGTACTTCAAACATCATATAAGATGATGAGGAGACTTACCTTGACAGTCGGATGGAATGTCATTCCGTGCATATTAACTCGAAGGCGATCTCCTGCCTCTAATTGGAGTGGGGCCTTGCTAGAGTCGACAAGTTCGACTGTCCACCCTTTATGCCATTGAGGCCATCTTGGGAAGTCTAAGAACTAGATACACATGCTTAGCAAGACTTATAAGACACTTAAGCACTTGAACTACATACCACTGATCGGACAGTAGCCGGGGGCGCTAGGATCTCTATCTCTGTAGAAATGGTTCTGAGCCGTCCCATAATTTCAACGAGAGGGTTGTACGAACATGAGGTGTATGATAATTGTACATACAGTTGAGAGTTCTGTCATTTTAAATAAATCAAAACTATATATACCATTTCATCAGTAGCCATAATCACTCAGGTCTCGCGTCCCTATATTTTGAGAGGCGCGAAAATAGACCGACTAGGAACACCGTCAGCCGGCCCCACTCCGAAAAAAGTGCGAGGTGACCGAGGGATGGGAATGAATATGAATTTCTAGCGAAATTCAACGGACTCTTTCATATCAAGAGGTAGTCACTGGTAAGAAAAAAAATCCCAGTCGTTGATGTAGATGTATGGTTAGAATGGAACTGGTATTCATATTACACAATCAGATTCCTTTCCAGCCCCGGTGCAAATAAATTATCTAGATAGATCAGCCAGGGGATAGCAAGGAGACAGCTAGAAACTAGCATCAGCGCCCCGGATTTTAGCTCCTATGTGTTGATTGTGAGTGTTATACAGCAACTTGGATTTCAATATGAGACAATGTATAAATAGGGGCAGTAAATAAAGAAGACTACATAGCACCTTCACATTGGTGCCACTTATTGTTCAGCCTGAGCAGGCACGTCTGCTTGATGAACAGGCAGGTACGTAGCAAAGACACACTCGTCACCATCCATTCACAAGACCCGGCGATCTTCCGGCCCCACCACCGGGACAGAAGGCTCATAAGAGTAAACAAGCACCGGTTCAAGCAATCAGAAGTCCGGCGATTTCGTTCCGGACTGGCTTAGGCATCTATGGAGTAGAAGTTAACTCGTCCCTCTCCCATTATCGGGTTTGGGGAAAACCCGGGTGCAAGTCCCGGTAGATGCAAATCACTTTTTTGGACGTCGTCGGTTCAAAATAGGCACCTCTTCTCTTTTTTTCTTTTGTACGATTATGTATTGCCATCTCAGCATTCCGTCACATCAATTATTGTTAGTCAATCAATGTCACCTCGTGATGATTCCCAAAGTTTAAATATTACTCGAGCCAAGGATTTGCAATAGCCACATACAATCACCAATAAGTAGACCAGTCGTCACATTTAAAGTCGTCACATTTAAAGTCAGCACATCATCTAGGAAGCCATTTCATCAATAATTTCGCAGCTCATTTTCTGCGTGGATCTAGTGGTCTACCTATCCAGTCAACCATATCACTCTCGAGAGTAAACTTTCTTAGCTCCCACCCAAGTCTCCTTAACCCTGAAAGATCGTAGATCCTCCACCCACGTATCCTCCAAGGGCTTGTCGAGAACTATCCAATCTGCAAAGGCGCCTGGCTTGATGACACCAGCTTTGCCATCCATGAAGGCGCCGTGCGCAGGACCGTCAGTGAAACCACGAATTGCGTGGTCTAGATCGAGGGCCTCGTTCATGTGCCATCCACGAGACGTATTACTCGGACCTTTGCCTGTGTGAGGGCTACGTCTTGTGACAGCTGCGTATATGCCTTGGAATGGGTCAGGTGGCTCAACCGGGAAATCGCTACCTAGGACGGGGCTAACGTTAAGCAGAGAGCGCATACGGTACGCCTCTCTTGCAGTGCGTTCATTGCCTAATCTGGTCTCTGCGTATGCCATGTCGCTCGTAGCATGTGTGGGCTGGATGGAGGGGATGATTCCCACAGCATGGATTCGAGCCTGGTCATCTAGATGAATTATCTGGGAGTGCTCGATACGGAAGCGATGACGAGACTGGCAGAGCGAGAGAGTTTCATTGGGACAAAGGAGTCGAAGGGCAACGGTAATGGCGTCGACTGCGTTTCGGTTGGCCAGATCACCAATCGCGTGAATATTCACTTGGTAGCCTTCTCTAGCCCATGCGACCGTATCGTACACCAGTTCGGAGGCGTTGACAAGTAGGGTTCCGGATGTCTCTGGCCGATCGGTGTAGGGCTCAAGTAAGGCACTACCCCAGCTTCCCAATGCACCGTCTATTCCATATTAGACTTACTCGGAACACGAATTTAATTCTTGTGTAACTTACCGGCGAAGAGCTTCACGCTGTTGACAGTTAAGAAGCCGTCCGGACTCTTGAACTTCTTGACCTCGTGGGGGCAGAAGGTGTTGCGTTCATTGCACTCGATCATCGCATAGACCCGCACTGTCCAGTCGTCGGTACCAACCAGTTCCTTGTAAAGGTTCAGATTTCCCGGGGTAACTCCAGCGTCGTGAATGCCCACGAGTCCTACTTCGTTCAACTTTGCCATGGCGCTCTTCACAAACTGTTTCTTCTTGTCTTTGTCCGGCTTGGGCCACAGAGCCATCACCATATCCATCGCATTATCGCAAAAGACGCCCATGCCAGGGTCAGTGACAACTTGGCCACCAGGAATGTCAGGAATATGCTCTGGAAGTAGGTCCAAGACTGGTTGAGAGACCCAGATACAATGTACATCCACTCTGTCGAGCATGATGTACATATTCTTAAGTTTCTTGTCCGCTGCTAGATCATCCTTCGATGTTGTTAGTATATCGGCATAATCGATGTGGTATATGGATCAGTGGGTTTGCTTACGGCAGTAGGTGTCTTTCCAAGAGCCATTTGATCCCATCCGATGCCTCTGAGCCACTCTGCCTTCGATCCGGCCTTGGGATTCTCGTCGGCATAAGCTAGAATACGAGATCGAACGTCATCCATGGAAGTAGAACCGAAGAGATCAACGGAGTTCAAGAACTCGCCGTATTGTTGCAGGTGCCCATGTCCATCCCAGAGACCGGGCATAGCAAAACCCGGGTTGGCATTCTTAGCATAGTCTGTGTCGGGACCAGCTCGAAAAACCTTAACAAATTTTCCGGTGGACGACACAGAGAAGCAGTTGACGTACGGCTCTGCTGCCAAGTTAGTGCGCACTGATTTGTAGCAGTGAGTCTCTACTGGAATAATATCGGACCATGCTGGTAGAAGTACATGGTAGTATCCGGCAATGGCGGCGATTAAGACCGACGAGTAAACCAAGGCTACATTATAAAATAAGTGCATGGTGACAGGCTAGCCGGTGTCACCGGGGCGAGATGCTGTATTATCCCAGCTTGAGAAATCCCACTCGTGGAGAGACTGAATTAGTAAATCTAGAGTCGTTAGAGGATCATTATTTTAGAAGAACAAGAAAGTTTATATGCGTTGATGGAATTCCAAGGATGAGAAAAAAAATTCACTTACTTCAAAGCTAACCAGTCCAGCTAGTGCACAAAAGAGAAAAGAAAAGAAAAGAAAAGCGGAAAAAAAATTCAGGATTTGACGTCGTTGTCGTTGACGAGGCGTTATACTACGATAAGAGAACCCCCATTGAGTAAAGCTTTGATAGCAGCATGCATGGTACAGTTAACGTGCTATATCGGTTCTATAGGTTTAGCGGAGGGCTACTTTAGTGGGACTAAGCAGCCAGGAACGGGAATGGCGGGGGCGGGGTAGTAAAGCAACGTCGCTGTAGAATTGAGGGAAACCCCCTGTAACTCTGGAAACTATAAGCCAACCTAAAGATGGAAGGAACTTCGAAAGGTTCTGTTTCTGCAATCCAGGGGCTTCCTTCCTTTTTCTCGGGAGATTTGATGTCGACCTTTCCTCCTGAACCTGCCAACTTCAAATTTTTGTATAACTCAAGCAAGCAGAAAAAATCTAACCAATACCTACCCAACCCCGCCGACGAAACCGCAATCGCAAATCGCAAACCGCAAGCCGCAAGCCGCAAATCGCAACCATGGCCGACGCAGCCGCCCTCCTCAAGCTCGCCGAAACGGACGTCTCGCAAGAGATCACCAAAAACCAATACATCCCCGTGCTAACGCAACCGCCCTTCGTCTTCGTCGACGGCACCTTCAACACGCGGGACATCGGACTCGTGCCCGGCAGTCCCCTCAAACCCGGCTACGTCTTCCGCTCGGGCGCGCTGGCGCAGCTCTCGGATAACGGGAAGGCCGTGCTGGGCGGGAAGCTAGGCGTCAAGCGCGTGTTCGACCTGCGGTCGCCGGAGGAGCGCGCGCAGGCGCCGGACCCGGCGCTAGACGGCGTCGAGTACGTGTGGATCGAGAGCGCGCGGCCCGATGCCGCGATAGAGTTGGACCGGTTCGTGGAGGGACAGGGCGAGGGCGGGTACCGCGATATGTACCTCGATGTCGTGGATGTGTACCAGGAGAGCTGGAAGGCGATTTTGGAGCACATTCGGGACCGCCCGACTGAGCCGTTCTTGGTGCATTGTACTGGTGCGTTTCTTATACTCTCGTATGCTTAAAGCTTTATGCAGGGTCCTTGCTAACGCATAACCACTGCCAGCTGGACGTGACAGGACCGGCGTTCTAGCAGGCCTCCTGCTCACTCTTGCCGGCGCGCCGCAAGAAGTCGTAGTTCTAGACTACCTCCTCTCGCGAATAGGAACGGAACCGGTGCGACTGATGCTTCTAGACTTCGCGATGAAGGGCACGCACGCGAAGAGCCATGACCAACCAGGATTCTACAATCTGATCAACCTCAAAGCCTCGAACTGGGCTGCATTCGTCGACGGCGTGCAGAAAGAATACGGCGGCTTTGAGAAGTTCATCATGGAGAAGCTAGGGTTCACCCATGATGACCTAACTAAGATCAAAGCGAATCTAACAAGCTCGTAAAGACTTGGCTTGATAGGAATTGAGCGTGTCAATATAATTGTTAAAATGATTGGGTAATAGATTTATTGAGTCGGGTAGCACAGCAAGTGCGGTATCACAACAAACTGCAAGGCCTGCTTTTACTGGAGGTCATAAGAGGAGAATCGAGACTATTTCGTCTAATCATTTTTCGAGTAGTTCTATCCAACAACATTTATACCTAGCATATGGTTGTTGAAACAGTCTCCCACCATGAATCGTTAGCTCACCATCTACCAGCAGCCGCAACTTTAGGAACACAAGTACTGTCTTAGAACGGTTAGTTCTTTGTATTATAGCATAAACGCACCCGATATCTCGGGAAAGTGTGGGTATGATGGGTAGGTGGGTTACAACTAGTTGTCTTCTAAATATCGAGTATGCGAAGGGCGCGCCGATAGGTTAAATATGGGTATAGGTAAGCTTGTAATGCCTCCACTCCGTGTCTCCTTTATCGGAGATGCGAGGATTCATAAATTCTAGGGCTTGTATTGGCACATTCTTCGAGACTTGTCGTGATTCAATTCAATACCTCCATTGCAACTGTTTTTTTTTTTTAAAAAAAAAATAATAATTAGGGAGTTTTTCCAGTTGAAAAGTTGCTCATAGCTAAATGTCGAGTCGTGATCTGGAGCTAGAGGCTTTTGCCCAACCGACAGCAAGGGTTGGAGCTGTGCCAATGGCAGCTGAAGAGTTGAACCAGCAGGTCGAATCACCTGCAGAAACGCCTGGGGAAGAAAGGCAGGAATTCTCATTGCCGCCCGTCGATGGTGGCAAAGATGCATGGCTCTTCTTGGCAGCATGTTGGGCGATTGAAGCCCTCGTCTGGGGTAAGATTGAATACATCTTTGTTAAACTGGTAGCAGGTCGTTGATCGCTTCAATAGGGTTCCCATTTGCCTTTGGTGTGTTCCAGGACTACTATAGTACCCATGAACCTTTTGCAGGTTCACCAAATATCACAATGATTGGTACCTGTGCGATGGGTATAATGTATCTCACCGCGCCCCCTTTTGATCGGGCTTTGCCGCCTCTTTAATAGGTGGGCTCGGTATACTTCCATACTTGGTTTACTCACCATGTGTCTCTCGCTTGCGATGAGCTCGTTTTCGACGACGATCCCGCATCTCATTGCCACTCAAGGTATCCTGTACGCCGTCGGCGGGTCTGTTGCCTATTCTCCTTGTATTCTGGTAAGTATAGGATAG